ACTCGCAGTGTGTGGAGCTTAACGGGTTCATGCACCACGGTGTTGTGATGTATGTGTGAGAGGGTTACAGAGGTGCGCACCCCACCTTTTTTGTAAGAATACTGAATATATAAATGTATAAGTATAAAAAGAACGTGCAGTTAACTACACGTGCTTTCATCCAAGATGTCTGACAGTCGAAATGCTTATAACGAACTAAACTTTGTGGTCCCTTTGAGTTCGTTATAACCGTAGTTTACTGTAAATAATTTGGTGACGGTCGTCTTAGCGCTAGGATCGCTTTGTAGGACGGAGCTTGGATGCCTGTAGGGGCGGTCGGGTAGCCTAGTGGTTAAAGCGTTCGCTCGTCACGCCGAAGACCCGGGTTCGATTCCCGACATGGGTACAATGTGTGAAGCCCATTTCTGGTGTCCCCCGCCGTGATATTGCTGGAATATTGCTAAAAGCGGCGTAAAACCATACCCAGTCAGTCAGTCAGTCAGTTTGATGTATGTATGTCTGTTTTTGAATAACTGACCCTGAAAATCAATTCAGTCATTCCCCAGGCATTGAGTATAATGATGGATGACCACTGCTTCGAAATACACTGCTTCATCGATGACTCCAATGACTTCAATGATTTGATCCAGGGTTTTCTTGATCGATCAGTTACCCTGGTTAGCCATCGACTCAAGCGCCGTGTACAATATGTATATAATATCCAGTGAAGATTCCGGGTTAGAATTTATCATCAGCAACCCGTGCTTGCCGTAAGAGGCGTCTATGCTCGTCGTAAGATCCGAGAAGGCCCTCAAACATTGACAGTGCCTCAAAATACTGGTGAACACAAGAACAATATATCAACATAATCACTGATTGAGTGGGTATGGTTTTACGCCGCTTTTAGTAATATTCCAGCAATATCACGGCGGGGGACACCAGAAATGGGCTTCACACATTGTACCCATGTCGGGAATCGAACCCGGGTCTTCGGCGCGACGAGCGAACGTTTTAACCACTAGACCGCCCCTCATAATCACTGAAGTACCCTTGTTGAAAAAGTTCTACAAAAAATATGTGTTCATTACCGAATAGCAAGACAAGATATATTGGGTACGATTTGCAGACTTTGACGCCATGGCAGAACTTACTTTCAGTGTCATATGATCTTAATGAAGCTACATGTAATCTGTTAAGCTTAGTTTCCCTTAATATAGATTAAAGACAGTATTTCCAAATGTTAAATTAACGAAATGACGAAAATCAAGTCTCATTTCATTTCTCTTTAAGAAAATATCCACAACACGCCAAATTCTCACCCGTCACGTGTTTCAGTTCATGCTTAATATATGAAGGGGTGGCACAACAAACCGTTTTCCTGATTAACGCAAGATGACTTGTCCCTTGTTAGGGAAGTTAATATCTAGTCCTTTGTCCTTAGTAACAATCAGCACTCACCATCTAAACGTGATCGGGTGGTCAAGCTCGCTGACTTGGTTGATGCATTTCATCGTATCTCATTTGCGTAGATCGATGCTCATGATGTCAATCACTGGATTGTCTGGCCCAGACTCGATTATTTTCGGACCGCCGTCATATAGTTGGAGTATTGGTGAGTGTGGCGTTAAACAACAAACCAACATATTGCGAGTGACAATAACAGTTGTAACAGCGTGTCGGGGTATTGTCAAAGGAAATCGCAAATTGATGCAAACCGTATGTTTAGCGGTTTGGTTGTATCAAGAACCATGCCACATATGTAGGAAAAGTACAGTAAACTACGTTTATAACGAACACGTTTATAACGAACACGTTTATAACGAACTGACCGATATAACGAACTTATTTTTAGTCCCGGCCATTTGTTGCATATATGCTGTATAAATGCTTATAATGAACTACTGTTATTACGAACTAAATTTAGTGGTCCCTTTGAGTTCGTTATAACCGTAGTTTACTGTATATGTTTCCAGATGTAACCCACGAGCACGGTATTGCGCCGACTAAACGAGGTTCAGGGGATCGTGGCACAGCCAAGGGGAATCTGCACAGGGAATCATTGCTCCTGAAGCCGCTTGGTTACCTAAGATATAAATTTTGAGAGAGAACTGACTTTGAACATACATATATACCCGATACGACCCTTGTGCAGAGAGTGAGTGGGTATGATTTTACACGGTAATATTCAAACAATGTCACGACGGAGGACAAGATGAAGCGACTTCACACAGTGTAACCCTTATGCAGACAATGTGGAACTAAGATATATTTTAATGGACGAAATGGTATTTCTTTCACTCGTCATGCTGAATGCGGCGTTAAACAACAAACAAAGAAAGCTCATGGGGGGGCGGGGGGAGATGGGGTTGCACATAGGGGGTTCAACTCGACTAAAGTACCACAATCGTTGTGCAGAGTTGTGTTCTTTATTGATCCGTGATCCTTCCAGAATTGCCCTGTCTTGATAAGATAAGATATAATAGTCTGTTTACGATTCAGTGTATCAAAGGTGCAGTAATTCCCTTCACTTGATATATTTTTATTTCACAAGACTTCACAAGCTATTAATGTTCAAATCGGAAGTGAGTCAGGCTTGTTTGATTAACTTTAACACTTAACCCTACATAATGGATGTGAGAAAATAGTTCGTGATAAGCGAACCAAAGCAAACGCGCCACACTGCAATAAAACACCAGTAAATGATCCCCCGGCATGTGAAGCGTTTTGCAAATGACATTTGGAGTATGTAGCAGGTATTTGTAATGGGAATATGTCAGATGGCGGGAAAAGGATCGAGTTGCCTCCCCTAGCTGCTCCAGCCATCACGGGCTGACTGATGTGCTCACATATCACTCCGAGGCTTTTAACCATATATCACTCCGCGCAATAAAACGTACACGCATCTTAAGAAAGAAGATACTGTCCTGGAAGGGAAGTCGAACAAATGGGTTTAACTCAAGGACAATATCCCTATTTTTAGGAATACGGAGCTGCCTATCATAGATCGATGTCATGTCGCCATACATAGCGAAAGTGGGTCATTGTGCAAAAGCCAGTTGGGTATTAAATAAATTTGCATTCTCTTATGACAAGGTTGAAAAAAAATGATAGTACTTCGTATGTTTGAATATTAAGATCATTTTAACTATCATGTCGTTGAAACTACCATGCAATACCTTGTTACCAATTTGCAATGATTCATCAAACGAGCGACGAACAGAAATTATCCAGGGATTAGTGGCAAATCATCAATGATAAATTATCAACCGTTAAAACAATGTCGTGCTACATGTGCTACAATAGTGATGATATATGCATGATAATAAATTTAGAAACAAAACAAGTGGGTATCCATTTCAATCGCGCGTGCGTGTGTGTGTGTGTGTGTGTGTGTGTGTGTGTGTGTGACAACTAGTAATACTGACTTCCTGAATGCACGTACACTGTTATATCTGCTTACGCTAAGACATGGCAGACGTGCTAGGCTCTGTCGTCTTGTCGAATAACACTGCATGAATAAATCTGCATACTGGAAGTCAACCATAAACTGCTGGGCAAAGTAAGTACACACTTGAAAATTGGATTTTACCAAAACAATTACCAACATTATAAAAACGTCACGAGGTTGAAAACAGTCGCAAACGTATTAAGGTTCAAAACATAACTATGGTACCCGTATCAAATACATGAACATCACCATTGAATAACCATCGAATGTATACTTTCGTTTGCCCGGCCATTTTTCTATCGCCTTACCATGATTCCAAAGCTGAAAAAGCACCTGATACGAGGGCTGGTCAAAAAGTTCTAGGCCTGACTAACTTTCAACTATGGGCCTCAAGAAAGTGAAGCCCCTTAACGTTCAACAGGTTGTCACTAATATAGATGTTATATGGCCCTAGTTGAAAGTTAGTCAGACCTCGTACTATCGTCCTGTGAAGTAGCCTCTTTAACGGTCTGTGAAGTATCAGTCTGAGCGGTAGCAGCCTGTACGGCAGCCTCTTATTGCGACCTATACGGTAGCTTGTAATAGCGGTTAATGCCTTAGCCTTTGGTTTTGGCCTGTGTATTAGCCTGTAATATCGACAAGTATGCTAGCCTGTGATATGTGCCTGTGTGTTAGCCTGTGATATGGGCCTGTGCGATACACTGTAATATCGGCTAATGCGTTAGGCTGTGATTTGGACCTGTGCGTTAGTCTGTGATTTGGGCCTGTGAGTCAGCCTTTGATGTGGGCCTCTGTGGTAGCCTGTATACGGGCCAGTGCGTTAGCCTGTGATTTAGGCCTGTCCGTCAGCCTGTGATGTGGGCCTGTGCGATACCCTGTAATATCGGCTACTGCGTTAGCCTGTGATATGGGTCTGTGCGTCAGCCTGTAATATCGAACAGTGCGTTTGCCTGTGAAAGGGGGCCTGGGCCAATAGCCTGTAATATCGAACAGTGCGTTAGCCTGTAATATCGGCTTGTGTTGGGTGGTATCCTGTGATCTTGGGACACATGCTTTGATGTTGTTCCTTATCTTGCTCCAATGTTTAAACGTTTCAACCCCTGGCCAGTCACTACTTACTCAGTTACCAAGGTCACTGTCGGTAAACCCAAAATCAATATATATGACGCGACGTCGAATACAGGATGGAAAGTGGTGATATTAGTTTAGTAATATCTACGTTATAACTTTACACAGGTTTCACTTGACAACGCTTTGTCGGTGAATCAGCTGCTTGTTTACATGTCTTATAAATGCCAACCTCAAGTACCGTAATCTGTTATACTCATAACCAGCGCGGGGCGTGTTCTGGTAGTATTAAACGTGAAGTGTGGCCTCCATCAGATAACTCAGGACCGGTAAGATGGGGTCGAGTTACGTTGTTAGGGTGGCGCAATATCAGTTTGGAGACATAGAGACGGGGCGGGGAGACGGAGATGGCACAGCAGACAGGACTGGTTACCTGACAGGTTTATAGGGCGGGTAACAGGACGTAAAGATAGGCGACAGGGGAGACAAGACGCGGGGAGACAATATGGGGAGACAGGAGAGGAGGCGGGGGAACAGAACGGGGAGACGGGGGACAGGGCGGGGAGACAGGAGAGGAGGCGGCGGGGGACAGAACGGGGGGGACAGGAGTGGAGACATGAGAGGAAACGGGGGACAGGACGGGGAGACAGTAGAGGAGACGGGGGAGGACAGAACGGGGAGACAGGAGAGGAGACGGGGGAAAGGACGAGGAGACACGGGAGAGGAGACGGGGGAGGACAGAACGGGGAGACAGGAGAGGAGACGGGGGAGGACAGAACGGGGAGACAGGAGAGGAGACGGGGGAAAGGACGAGGAGACACGGGAGAGGAGACGGGGGAAAAGACGAGGAAACACGGGAGAGGAGACGGGGGAGGACAGAACGGGGACACAGGAGAGGAGACGGGGGAAAGGACGAGGAGACACGGGAGAGGAGACGGGGAGACAGGAGAGGAGACGGGGAGACAGGAGAGGAGACGGGGGGACAGGACGGGGAGACAAGAGAGGAGAAGGGGGACAGAACGGGGAGACAGGAGAGGAGACGGGGGAAAAGACGAGGAGACACGGGAGAGGAGACGGGGGAAGGACAGAACGGGGACACAGGAGAAGAGACGGGGGAAAGGACAAGGAGACACGGGAGAGGAGACGGGGGGACAGGACGGGGAGACAGGAGAGGAGACGGGGAGACAGGAGAGGAGACGGGGGGACAGGACGGGGAGACAGGAGAGGAGACGGGGGGACAGGACTGAGAGACGGGAGAGGAGAAGGGGGACAGAACGGGGCGACAGGAGAGGAGACGGGGGAGGACAGGACGGGGAGACAGGAGAGGAGACGGGGGACAGGACGGGGAGACAGGAGAGGAGACGGGGGACAGGACGGGGAGACAGGAAATGAGACGGGGGACAGGACGGGGAGACAGGAGAGGAGACGGGGGACAGGACGGGGAGACAGGAGAGGAGACGGGGGACAGGACGGGGAGACAGGAGAGGAGAAGGGGGACAGAACGGGGAGACAGGAGAGGAGACGGGGGAAAAGACGAGGAGACACGGGAGAGGAGACGGGGGAGGGCAGAACGGGGACACAGGAGAAGAGACGGGGGAAAGGACGAGGAGACACGGGAGAGGAGACGGGGGGACAGGACGGAGAGACAGGAGAGGAGACGGGGGACAGGACGGGGAGACAGGAGAGGAGACGGGGGACAGGACGGGGAGACAGGAGAGGAGAAGGGGGACAGAACGGGGAGACAGGAGAGGAGACGGGGGAAAAGACGAGGAGACACGGGGGAGGACAGAACGGGGACACAGGAGAAGAGACGGGGGAAAGGACGAGGAGACACGGGAGAGGAGACGGGGGGACAGGACGAGGAGACAGGAGAGGAGACGGGGGGACAGGACGGGGAGACAGGAGAGGAGACGGGGGACAGGACGGGGAGACAGGAGTGGAAAAGGGGGGACAGGACGGGGAGACAGGAGAGGAAAAGGGGGACAGAACGGGGAGACAGAAGAGGAGACGGGGGGACAGAACGGAGAGACAGGAGAGGAGAAGGGGGACAGAACGGGGAGACAGGAGAGGAAAAGGGGGGACAGGACGGGGAGACAGGAGAGGAAAAGGGAGGACAGGACGGGGAGACAGAAGAGGAGACGGGGGGACAGGACGGAGAGACAGGAGAGGAGAAGGGGACAGAACGGGGCGACAGGAGAGGAAAAGGGGGGACAGGACGGAGAGACAGGAGAGGAGAAGGGGGACAGAACGGGGCGACAGGAGAGGAAAAGGGGGGACAGGACGGAGAGACAGGAGAGGAGACGGGGGGACAGGACGGGGAGACAGGAGAGGAAAAGGGGGGACAGGACGGAGAGACAGGAGAGGAGACGGGGGGACAGGAGAGGAGACGGGGGGGCAGGACGGGGAGACAGGAGAGGAAAAGGGGGGACAGGACGGGGAGACAGAAGAGGAGACGGGGGGACAGGACGGGGAGACAGGAGAGGAGAAGGGGGACAGGACGAGGAGACAGGAGAGGTGGACGGGGGGACAGGACGGGGAGACAGGAAAGGGAACGGGGAGACAGAGACGGGGAGACAGGACGGAGAGACAGAGACGGGGGGACATTTCTATTTTGAATGGCTTTTAACTGAAAGGCGAGACGTAATAAATACTTTATAGCACTAGCATCGCAATACGGTGTTCTCGTTACAATTTATGGTGATAAATCATCGATTTCACACAGTCTGTGATTATGTTGATACTTCACGGATTGGAATAGAATAGGCTAACAATTATTCCAGATGATTTTGCACGACAACCCATCAATATAATTTTGTAATTTAAATCAGTTTATAAAGAAAACTCAAAACATATAAAAATGTTTGCGATTGATGTTTCATTGACACATTGACATCGACACATCCAAGAAATGTGTGTGTGTGTCTGTTGGCAATATTTGATTGAATAAATCAATAATAATTTTAACCTCTTTCGGCTTTATTTTGGTCTAATTATCAAAATGTGCACTGGCAGTAATACTTTAATACTTTTTAAAGAATTAGAGATTGATTTCCTAATGCAGCCTGCCAGGAAAGCTGCTGACCCCTGTAATATCGGTGCATGTATTCAACACGCGCGCGTTATCCCGAGTTCAATTAAAACCTGCGTCAATGTACTAATACAATTACTCCTTGTGACCCGAGGTCAGCCCTGATGTGGTGCAGCGATAACATTATACCCCGACAGGTATAGCCACTTAATCCTATCCCGAGGTTACAAACTTTCACGAGCCGTGTGTATTTGACTTGGGTTGAATTCAGAGGGAAGGTCAATATTTACCCATACTACTCTCAGTTGAGAATTGTCCGGACTTGCCTATTATGTTATAAACAACGCTGAGCGAGTGTTATTGCTATTTGAATGGCTTTTAACTGATAGGCGAGACGTAATAAATACTAGAGCATAAGTATATGGAATATATATGAAATAATACGTAAAGCAAGGGTTCTGCTGCATCATATCAGGGGCTGAGATTATGCATACCTTATATGAATGAAAACGCAAAACATACATATGTTGTATCGTTTCACGTTTTGACTGACTGACTGACTGAGTATGGTTTTACGCCGCTTTTAGCAATATTCCAGCAATATCACGGAAATGGGCTTCACACATTGTACCCATGTCGGGAATCGCACCCGGGTCTTCGGCGTGACGAGCGAACGCTTTAACCACTAGGCTACCTAGATGCTTCACGTTTTGAGGCAATGCGTACCTTATATGAACAAGAACAGTCACTGTGAACCATGTTTGGAGAAAAGGCAAAATGTGTATTGAGCGAGTGGGTTTGGTTTAATCCCGTTTTCAACAGTATATAAGTTATATTACGGCATATCAGCTTGATGTGGGAGGAAACCCCGAAATGATACAGGCCTTTGACATTTACAATTTTGCGAAAACCAAGGGCACGGGAAAATCTACAAACATAATCAGTGCGAATCTCGGATTCGAAGCCACGATAATAGGTTTCTGGCACGACTAGGGCACGTAACTCTGCACAGCAAAATGCGTCGCGTTCGATTACTGACCACCCGTGTCCCTGCACGGTGAATCGGACACGGAGTCACACTACCAAGCGTGTATGACCGTTATACGTATGTAGCGACCGGAAGTGCCACAAACAGTCCACAATTTCGAAAAACTCCATTACCTGCGATAATGCTCCCGGTTGACTCTAAAACATCTTGCGATTTATATGCGGAATAAGAATTAGTTAATACTTTGGGGGAGAAACATACTGAATATAATTTACGGGTATATTTCCATGTTCCATCCCGAATAAATATCCCATTTTATTTAAATTCTACATTATGAATCGAAAATCTCTTAAGAATTTCATTTTGTATTCGTCAAATATTGGAATATATACGGTATGAGGAGGAATCGCCCACAGAATCCTTGTTCTGTGCCAAGGACATATGAACGAAAGCGTACACTCGTCATGAACATGATCGTCTCTATTACACACACAACCACCTTACAGATAACTCGTATTGACAAGAGTAAACATTAAGACATGATTTGTTGTATTTGCGTTTGTCAACGTGACTGCCAACACATATTTGTGAAATCTATACAGCCAAGTATTCCTTTAAAGTATAGAGATATAATTCTCCCGCTTTGGACATCACACAGGGCTAATACTTTTATCGATCTATAACATGACGATATGTGTTTACCAGGAAAAAAAAGGCAGCGTCATCAACCATTAGTATGAATCAAGGTCAATATACCATAGAGGCAAAAGAAATGCATTACACTGATAAGATTAAAGTTAAAGTAACTTGACTCTACCCAAAAGTGTGTGGAATATGTTACTACTGTTTTCTTTTAAGATACAAACGCATCCATTAAAGGAGAGGTTTAAAACGAAAACAAGTTCGTCGGTAGAGCCTTTAAATCCTACCACTCATGAATTTTAGTCCACTTAAGCCCACTGTAGATTTAAAAGCTCCACATGCGTCATTATACACATGCACGACGTGTGTATGATACCGTATTGGTTTTGGTAGCAGTTCAAGATCGGTGCTGGTTAACATTTTGTGTTAGGGATGTGAGTTTTTATCCGACATCGAACCTTTGAACTGCTCCGTATTGACATTATAATGTATGGACGGATTTCCCAAACTGTACACAGCATCACGATGATCCTGTGACGTCAACCTAAACAAATATTGGCTACGTGTGTTTCACACGAAGAGGGCTAACGGTTAATAGCATCAAAGGTTTTATAGACAATCATAACTTCGTAATACCTTAAACTTCAACTGATATCTTTGATCCACAGGAACTCGTTATTGGTTAGTAAATATAAATATTTACCCCCTATACGTACTTACACATAGGGTATATATTTTTATTTACTGACCAATAACGAGTCCCTGTGCTTAGATCTGTCATATGGAAACAACATGGCAGAATAACAAGCTAGTGTCCAAAATATTTAATGTCACAAATACTCTATTGTGTAATCAAGACATATCGATATGGGTGAGTACAATTTGTGAAGCCCATATCTGGTGTCCCGTCGTATTATTGCTGGAATACTGCAAATAGCGGCGTAAAACCATACTCACTCAATCACTCACTATCGATCTGGGCCACGTTCCACAAAGGGATCTCAGCGCTACGACTGTGTTAAGTTAAGTTACAGAGAGTGGGAGTAACGACAATCGTAAAGTTAAACTCTTTTTGTGGAACAGGGCCCCAGTGAAGGGAAGGAAACGGTCATGTCACATGTCGCTATAACGGTTACAGTAACCTACGGTTAAAACGAACTAAATGGGACCACTGATTTTAGTTCGTTATAACCGTAGTCCGTCATAATATATATACAGCATATATGGACGGGACCAAAAAACAGTTCGTTATCAACGTAGTTTACTGAAAACAACCTCCATGGATCAAATGATTGAGTGAGTGAGTTGGGGCTTACGCCGCATTTAATACTAGTCCAGTCATGTCACTTTGGGGACACCAGATTGGCTTCACACACTGTACCCTCGTGGGAATAAATCCCGGACCTTCCGCGTGACAAGCGAACGCTTTAACCACTTAGCTACCCCACCGCCTAAGGACCAAAAGACGTGAACATTAACGTCAAATGGCACTGCTCGAAATACACTTGCCTTCGTCACATCCGGCTTTATTAGAACAGGAGTTGCTTGACTGAAACTCCCAAAGAAATGTGGGGACATCCACTTTACACACGATAGACCTCGATGGTCATAAAAATGCCCTCGACCTATCCGGCTTCGTTAGACCAGGAATTGACTTAACGAAACTTCCAGGGCCAGGACAAAGCTTCAAAACATACAACTACATTCTAGAAACAAAAACTGAAGCCAAACAATTGTTTTGTGACTCTCAGAATATTATATTTCAGAACATCCAACATGTCCGCCGAACGATTTCTGTTGAGGACTAATTATTTTTTCCAGCAACTCTCCCCATAGAAGATAAAATGTTCAGCTTCAAAGTCAGCGATGAATAATAATGGCGCTAATATCGCTTCGGGGCACGATGAAAAGGATGTAAGGGAACGGTCACATTAAACACCTTGTACCTTCTACATAATCCGACCAACACGCTCTCTTCTGGTAAATATTGTCACCGCCAGAGTGCATTATTAAGGAGTGTTTGCGTTATATGACACACTCAATATCACAGGCATTAATGCAATGTGTCTTTACCTGAATCAACCGCGATGGAATGAAGACAGAACATCTTCCTGAAGATTGTTAAACTGAACACATCAGGACTTTCACTCATAATACGTAGCAAACACGTTCCCTACAACAGAGAAGGTGGGCGTCTCGAACATAGCCGAGGCAAAGTTGTCCTTGCTGGGATCCCACAAACACCTGCTGGCGTGGTTGAGACCTTGTTCGCGCTTTTCTACCACTGTAACATAGGACACGATCTTGTATCGGGACAATCCGGAGGTCTTCACCCTCTCCTTGATCAGGTCGGCCAGCGTCTTCGTGAGATGGGGGAAGCTTTTACTGTTGTAGTCCTTCCCGGAAAGGTAGGATTCCAGGATGCCGTATATGATCTGTTGGCACTTCCGGGTGGAGAATTTTCCTTCCTCTTCCGGTTCCATCTTGTAGGTATTCTCATAGCCGACCTTCTCCTCAATCGGGCCGCCGAAGGTTCGCGAGTACACCATGGCCCGGAGCCGGGTCTTGAGCCTGGAGTAACGGGTCCTATTGCTGGTGTCGGACCTGCTGCTTCTGTCACTCATCCTGTCGGACCACGTTCTGCGCCTGTCCGGTCTTCTACTTCCAGTGTCCATGGCGGAGTGGTTACCTTGCTAAGAGACGTCGCAGAAGATTAGGTTCAGTCCTTTGCTGGGTAAACGGTTGTCTTTGAGTGTGATGAAGTGTGTCCTGGAAACTATCTGGAAAACTTTCAGTTGCCGGAAAACACGTCACGAAGGATCGTAATGACAACCGACTTTAAATTGTGTAAACCACTTTAAATTTAATACCAATCTGTCTAAACTGGCCACTTTTGTCCCATTAAATATCGTTAGTTATAAAACCGCTGTCAAAGTTCATCTAGATTGAAAATTCAAAGACACAGCACCTTTAAGGGTCCAATCCCCGTTAAACGGTTGAGACGACTGACACCCAACTTTGACTATCCTCCGCGATCTTCAGACTGCTTTCACTCGCTCTCGACAATGATAGATTTGCCCTCGACAGAGCCCAATTAAAGTGCGGCCCCGCCCCTCCCGACCGCCCTGAGTCAATATAGTGGTCGCCCTGATCCGCTCACCTGTCGTAAACACCTGTACCTCACTGGTCGCAAGGTCGATCTGCAAGCGATATGCCTGTCACTCATAAAAGTCGCCGAGGTATTGTTGTTTTATTATTTAAGGTCGCTCAACGTCATGTTAATAGAATTGAGTGCTATGGCTCGACATTCTTGTTTGACTACATTGTGCCATTCTTTACTCTTGCATTACGTCCATTAAATAGTTTGTTGTGAAATAGAATAATGTTGTATAATGAATAATGCTTGTTAGGCTGTTTTGTTATTTGTAAATGTGGAAATGTCACGTACAAGGAAATACAATTAACCTGTCCTGTTTTACCGAAAGATTACATATTTGATATCAACTGTCGAAAGGTGCTTTGTTTAGAGGAATAATTGTCGTAACTAAAGACCTAGAAATTATAGACCCCCTGGGGACCTGGGCATAATAAATAGTCACCGTGATATTGCTGGAACACTGCGTAACAGATATACCAAGCATACAAAAAATACTCCGATAAACTGGGCCAGAGAACTGATACACACACAAAATTGTTCGACTTGAGATAAACTGCCGGGCAAAAGAAAGTATACACCAATGTTTGATGGTAGTTAAATATGAAGCAAACAAGGTATCGTTATTCGATGGTGATGTATTTGATACGGGTATCATAGTAGTGTTTGGAACATTAACTTGCAGTGCCGCGGCGTCTTTTTTACAACCTTTTGATAACGTTTCTATCTATTGGGTTAAATTCAATTTTCAAGTGTATGTTTTCTCTTAACAAAATACTGATGAACTGGGCCAGATAACTGATACGCAATAAACTTCTTCCACGTCAGATATTAATAAAGAAGCTGCCTGTCGACCTTATACATGCTAGTCCATTACAGTTCGATTGGCATTGCGGGACAGGTTACGGATTTACAGGGGGCACGGGTGGCCCAGACGTCTGAGGCGCCGCAATTCGCTGTGCAGAGTTGCGTCCCCTGGGCACGCCAGAAACCTATGATTGTGGGTTCGAATCCCGGTTCGCCCCGATTATGTTTCTAGGTTTGTCAGCACCATACCCGTGCTCGTGGGTTTCACCAAAGTGGTAAACGTCTAAGACCTGCATCACTTCGCGCAGTCCTCCCACATTAAGCTGACATGCCGTGATATAACTGGAATACTGTTAAAAGCGGCGTTAAACACAACTCACTCACTCACTAAGGATTTACAACCGGACATACTTTCAATGCTTATCGCTAAGAATTTTCTCCCTACTGTTACAATCTCTAATTTCATGCACGTACAAATAACACTTTGATCATATGACGCTGTTTATTATAACGGAAGCAAAGACATATCTTGGAGTACAGAATAATTCAAAAATGAAAGTAACTGAATTTATTGGTAACAACTACTAAACGTCACGATGTGGACTGGGGCTCCACAAACTGATCAGTCATCTAATTGTATTCACAAAGACACCATGAAGATAGATCAGGATATTATCCACAGATTAAAACAGAAAATGCAGCAAAGAGGGTTTGGGTGATCCTGGCAGTCAGGCTAGTTAGGCTCATCATCAGTTCAGGGCCCTTGCACCTTCTACACGTAGCCCAGGAAGCGCTGCCTAGTCGACATCCCAACACTGCAGCCTTCTGCATTACCCAGATTGTCAGAGGGGCCGACTGTCAGTCAACAAATTAGGAGGTACCAAACCTAAGGCACCAAGAACAATGACGAGTCAGACAATTTGGTATTTGGGATGCAAGCGTGAGGTTCGCATATTTGCCATGTTTTTCTCGAATCTTGTCAATCACATTAGTGTCAGAAAGGACAAAAAGTTCAATGATATAAATGATTTCATTGGATTCATCAAAAAGGACAACATCGGGTCTGTGTAAAAACCACAAGCATGGCGGAGACGGTAATGAAAGGGTTCACTCACGTGGTGCAGTTTCGTGAATGACTATACATAGTCACCTACATTTCACAATCAATCGCAAATATTTGAGGGAAATATTACATGACTGAGAACTCTTATTTTCAAATAGCCGGATAGCATATCAGCTAATATGGAATAAATTATGAGTGTTAGAATCCTTATGTCAACATAACTGGTTCGAAATGATACCACTACAACTTTTATTGTGGACACACACCAGGTCACACTTGAACAAGTGGAAACTGGATATTGCTGGGGATATGAAAAAGGATCCAAATAGTAATAAGCCTATAAACAATATCATTACGGCCTATATTAAAATCTTGCCGACACAATTTTATTAATAATATACTGAACCGCAAAAGAAACGTCACCATGGATAGATATATGAGAAACCTTATTTGTCCAAACACTGTAAACATACTTTGAGACATATTAAAAAGATGAAACTTGGCAAAACTGATCATCAAGGTTGAAATTAAAATGTCAAATGTTCTTAAAGTGAAACACAACACTAGTCTCTGAGAAAATGAAATCACAAGTAGGTATCTTGTGTGTCCGCCATGTGCATTGATGACCGCCGTGCAACGCCGATACATGGAATGGATGAGGCGGTTGATGAAGACCATAGGCACTTGAGCCCAATCTCCGAGGAACGCCTGACGCAGTTCAGCTGAAGTTGTCGGGCTTGGTCGGACGTCATTCAGCCGTCTTTGAATCTCGTCCCACAGGTGCTCAGTGGGATTGATGCTCGGACCACCCCACGAGTCTCAACGAAACAAGCATCCGAATAACGTTCCCCACGGCGTCGCCAGACTCTCTATCTGCCATCTGCTGTTGAGATACAGTAACGGCCCTCGTCCGAGAAGACGACTCTTCTCCACTGCTGGTGGCGCCAATGCTGCTGCTGTGTTGCCCACTGAAGACGGTCCCGGCGATGACGTGGTGTCAGAATGGGTCCTCCGTGTGGCCTGTGACAGTGGAGGTGTCTGCTCGTCAATCGTCGACGCACGGTGTCCGTACTTATGTGTCGCTGGTGTGTCCCCGTGGTCTGTCGAGCAGCTTCCGCTGACGTCGGGTGGTGACCCTTGGACGTCCACTACGTGGTCGGTCATCTGTAGTGTTGGTGGTCTGGTACCGTTGCTGGAGCCTGTATATGGTCATTACGTTGACTTGAAATGCTTTGGCTACTTGCCGGGCGGTTTTTCCAGCTTGCAATCAAGTCAAAGTGCTTGGTGTCGCTGATTTCTTGTCAATCTTGGCATGTGGTAGCAATTCAATAACGAATGAATGTTATCCGATCTGGGTGGATTTTTATTGGGCAAGAAATGGGGGAACGCAAGTGCATTTTAATTTGCACGGAACTCACGTGCATCGGGTTACCATAGCCGTTGCCGTGATGCGTTTGGGCGACCGGTTTTATTATAATCTGCTTTGAATTTTTATCATCAAATTTAATTTTCCTGGACAAGGTAATGTTAACTTTTAGAAACTTTGACACAAATAACCCAGATATTCAAATGACAGCTCTTCATGCAATGTTACTTGGGGTGACGTTTCTTTTGCGGTTCAGTATAGTTTAGGCATGCCAATTTCACACATTAACATCACATATCAATTTAGCGCATTCTATTATGAAACGTCATGATAAAACACAGAATAACAAACATTGCTGTTCATGATGTCGAATTACTATTTCACTACGTTGTTTTCGAGAGGAGGAGGAGTTACCCATCTTAGCCGTGCAAGAATCCGATCATCGTGGGTTCGAATCCCTGAATCGCCAAATTTTTATCGTTGGTTTGACACCCTTGTTTGTTGGTTTTGGAAAACGCCTAGGACCTGATACACGTCGGGCTTTCCTTTCATATCAAGCTGACGCGCCGTGATATAACTGAACTATTATTCAAAGCGGCGTTAAACTCACTCACTGACGTACTGAAATAGCTTCCAAAGCAGTGATCTTCCCAAACTCATAAACAATGCGACATCACTACTTCCGGGGGTGAGCGTCCGCCCGTAGAGCGGAAGGTCCGGGGTTCGATCCCCGGCCGCGTCACACCAAATGACGTTTAAAGATGGTACTTGTTGTTACCCTGCCTGGCGCTCGGCATTAAGGGTCTGTACTAGTCGGGACTGTTACCGATTTATAGTGCTAGCCCACTGAGATACCATGCCGCAGTTTAACATGGATACCCCACTCAGACAAAGTATACAGACTCCAAGCCGACCAGTCCATGCAGAGCGTCAGACAGGATAACAAGTACCATCTCTCAACGTCTTTGGTATGACGAGGCCGGGGATCGAACCCCGGACCTTCAGCTCTCCGAGTGGATGTTCTACCACTTGACCACGGAGGCGGTGTCATTCCTAATTTTGATATTTATTTTTAAGGAAGGTCGATAAATTTCCGTGGGCCATTATTTCTTTCAGTCTTAGTGATTCTGCTTATTTAACAGTTACAGTGATACATTGATTTACTTGATTTCATTCATTGTTTGTGTATGATAACTAGCGATGCGGCGTCTGCAACACGAGGGGCGTCTACGGTGTATTGGCATAGTGGAAACCGGCAGATGTCAGCGTCCAGTCGCCAATACGTTCAATGTTTCACGATCTGTGATTAGCAGACTATGAACAGGTACTAAAGTACTCACGGAAATGAAAAAAAACTGTTTTTTCGATCTCAGATATTAAATAAATGCAGTTAATATACAAAATATATAAATATTCAAACAACTCAATTAGTACTAATTGGGCTTTGGCACAAATACAGCGTTTCAAAGGTTTTTATGTCTTTTTACACGTAAAAGTGTGTAAAAATATGAACAAAACAGACTATTGTGAAACTGAGCATAACCAGATGTTAGTTGATCAAGGTGAATGTCCATGACCTATGACACCTTGATAACAGGTGAAAACAGGTGCTTGAAACCCACGTGCATGTGATTTGTCAGTGGTTAGTGATTTGTGAGTGGCATTGTGGGATAGTGAATCATCGTCAAAATATCAGAACGTAAAAGTAACATATTCCCTTCTCAAACAACAACTTACATGTCATTATTATTATGTACATAAACATAGCTGTTATTTTTATTGTTGTTTTGATAACTTTTTTCCAGGCTAATTTGCATAATGCCTATAGCCTGTTTCTGCCATGTCAATTTGGACTTAGTTTTATTTTTGAATGTTGAAAGTGCCTACACTTACCTCCTGTAAAGTACATTTTGTATTGAGCACTGAGATAAAACTAGCAAATCCAGACTAGTACTTTTCCAGTTGTTTTGTTATTTCGTATTTACATCTACGTAATGGTTTGTGTCGATTATTAAATCCAGCAAAACATGTTTTTTTCATTTCCATGAGTACTTTTTTCTTTCTTTTTTTAACCAACCCCAAAAGTTGACGATCGACCCCGTTCAGGGTGTCCTAGACCAACGACAAGAGTACAGGATCGACTGTTCCGAAGCGAGGCTCTAGGAAATCGAAGAGCTCAAACGGCGAATCAATTGCTACAAACTTTCATCAGGCTACTGGAGTACGAGTTACGAGTCAGACGATTAGAAATCGTCAACATTCAGCTCATCTCCATGCCCACAAATCATCATATTGCCAAAAGACGCCAATGGTGTCCACAACGTCGAAACTGGTCATGTGTCATGTGACCTAGAAGAGTCCTATTCACTTCATAGGTGTGGTCGTGTCTGACAATGTCAACCCGAGTCTTCGATAGAGATCTGGCGGTGGATCGGTTATGGTGTGAGGTGGCATCACTTTGACTGAGCGAACACCGTTCCCTATTGTGCAAGGAATGGTCACTGGACAGTACTATCGGGACAATATACTAACACCCTTTGTTGTCCCGTTTACAAGATGTGTTGGTGGACGTTTTATCTTCCATGCTTACCTCCAGCACAACATCCTTAGAATGCCATGGCCAGCAATGAACCCAGACCTCCCATTCCCTCCCCCAAACGTCTGGGACATGATAGGGAGACGACATAGACTGCCGATCACGTTGACTGAAGAAAGACTCCTTCAAATCGTCATTTGGGGCATCATACCGACAATGCCTCGTCGAGTGAATGAATTGTTGACAAATCGTGACGGTATTACACACTACTGATCCTAAAACGTCAACTTTGAAATTTCCCGTCTTACCCCTATCGTCCTTCAAGATCGTTGGCGCTCATAACATCCACTTTCATACTTCACTACCGGTTGTAATGTGTTCCTAATTCGTCCATTATTATCATACAACTTTTACTAGAAACTTATATCTCCCAACTGAAGTTATTTCAGAGTATCCCCTATAGGTGAGGTGAGGTGAAATGGGGTTTAACGTCGCGTCCAAGATTATTGCACTTATAAGGCGACGTGCATGCACATGTGTGTGTTTGTGTGACTGCTTATACTAGTCCGGACTGATGCCAATTTATAGTGCTAGCTCACTGAGATACCATGCCGCAGTTTAACATGAATACCCCACTCAGACACAGTATACTGACTCCGAACCGACCAGTCCTTGTTTTAGCCCCTAAATGCCGAGCGCCAGACAGGGTAACAACAAGAACCATCTTTTAATATCCCCTATAGAGTATACTAGCGTGGATTAACATAGTAAATAATCAAACCTGGGCTAGTTGTTTATAGGAGGAGCAATGATCCTTGTCATCGGAGTCAATAGCACATAATCTTCCAAGTCACTAATCGTAGCCACACGATCCTCACAGGTCGTACCAGTTCGGAGGACTGAGGACCTATTGTGCCCTGTTCCACACAAGACCATATTGCAACAGTTTCGCAGGCGTCAATCAAGAGGGAAACCCAGTAAGTGTGTTATACCCCTTCCTGTTTAATCCTGAGCGTCTGTGGTATCTTATAGAATCAATCCACCTGTACCAAAGTCCCAAAAATACGAAAACATCAACAATCTTTAAATATATTTAATATGCAACAACAGAACTTTACAACACCTTGTACTCTCAGTTTGTACAGTGTCACAAGGTCAACGTGATTTGCACCCACAACTGTACACACCACACAGGTGCGCCATAGGAGCAGGTGCGAGCTGCTTTCACAAGGAACACACACATGATAGTGACCAGACGAGCATATATATGGACCACCAAGTCCCTGCAGCGACCCCTATAAGAAGCAATATGGTACGTTAACAACTTGTCAGTATGGTCAGACTTTTTCTATCTTTTTTTTTGGCTAACAGATTGTGATAGTGAAATATTTGGTAGGTCAAAAAAATAGAAAATAAAAATGTATAAGAGGATTTTTCTTCTTTAAATTTCATTTGATAAATTAATCATTCTTGTTCTGGTTTGTGTCTTTATAAACATTATGAAAGTTAAATCTGACAAGCATTCCACTGTCATTTTATTGTCAAGGCAATCTTTAGAGTCAGTTTTATAAAACAAATTAAATATGTCATTCTGATCATATTTTATTTTCTTCTGAATTTTCAATTATTAAGGTTGGCAGAACCATAAACCAAGCATAGAAAATGTAAGACCTAGACATGTTATAAATCATTGTCTGTTGTCTGATTCAGCTAGAACATATATTTCCCACTATTGCAGAACACCAATCGTACAAAGCATGCTAGCCAACAGGTGAGCATATTATCAATACATGGTCTGAAGCATGGTCAATGAATTAATTCAAATCTCTTTACACTGCTTTTAACACAGTTTTAAAAGTTCCTGCACATGTTTATCTAGTACACTAGTTAATTTCAGTTTATTGTTGGAATAAAAGCAAAATGAAAGACGATTCCGATATATCATGAGCAAGTGTTATGAATATATCAAGGACAGGATGCACCTGGGAACTGAACTGAACCCAACAACACTGCAACAGCCCAAAGTGAGTGGGTACTGCAAAGGACACAAGAAGGCCATACCATCCATTGGTGGATTCAAACCCAGATCTTCAGCAAGACAAGTGAACACATGAACCACAAGGCTACATTACAACCCCATAACCAGGTCCATCTCACTAAAATCAGATCTTAGTTCTCGCAACCAGTAAACAAATATCTGAGGACATCCCATTACAGGTCACGTCAGAACGACCTTTCATCTGACCAAATAGGGGTCGCTTACCAGATCATGAAAGAGACAGTCAGAATGTGTTTTCTAATCATGCAACCTCAACAGATTTAACCAGGTGTATTCCGAATGACAGTTACAGGCTTAATGACTGAATCCATACAATCTAGGCCATCTATTAGCCATTCCAGAATGTTCCTTTGTTCAGTTTTCAAATTCAAAACAGTTGCCAGAATGAAACTAGTACCGTAAAGCATAAGAAAGCTTCCTTCTGATTGGCTAATGTCGACTTCTTGTCAGTCATTCCATTGGTTGTAAAAGTTTGCGAAAGGTCGGTCTGACATGTGACCCGTAATGGGATGTCCTCAGATCTTTGTTTAGCGGTAGCGAGAACTAAGATCTGATTTGAATGAGATTGATAGCCAGGTATACCAGTTACATTGAGTAGTACTATAGTAATGCGGTACTGCTGTACAGGATCTAGCAGAGGACTTCAGCACTTCACAGTACAAGCCGATTATGTGTGTAACAATGCGTATTCTTTATTGAAAACCATGAGCAACTCTATGCAGGGTGATAAACACAGCAATGAAGGCAGAACAGTGACAATGTCACCATGGTAACAAACACAAGGACAAGTAGGTAAAATCAATATCGAAATGGAATATATTACAAAATGGTTGTGTTTAGGACACACTATATGAGTAACATCACACCATGTACTGAGAGACAAGTATTTATACAGATGGTTATGCACAAGAATCCAAAGTTCAGATTAACAATAAAATCTTATGGGTTTTTTTACAATCAAACACCTTTTATTATAGACAAAAATGAATTTGTTTAATTGTAAAAAAAAACATAACCAGAAACATGGATTTTTGTGGTTGTCTATACAATAACATTATTAACATTATTACTTATTAATAGGGTACTGACTTCAAATACTGCACAAAACAAAAATGGAAACCAGAATATATTTATGTATTATCATGCCATGCTTACCAACTAAATACTATCCAATATGTCTGTCAGAAAACCATTACACGTTTTCATTAATTCTTATTGGATGTTTTGTTCTTTGATGCTTATCAGATGTTTGGCTTTGTACTTGAATACTTCACATCAATGTGTCTTAACCATGTCCATCCCTATGTAAACAGTATAACAATAATGCTGATTACAATTTATGACTCAAAGTCACAATTCACAAACATGTATGGCTCAATCAACTGAGTAGTCACATGAAGCACCAAGACAACCTCCCTGGGATCGTGTCGTGGCCATTCAAGATCAGTAACAGTGTTCCATACCAAATCATTTCCACATCATTGTGCATATTTCCACACCACACAGGGGCATGCTCATAGTGCTATTATGACCCCGGTCACTGGATCAGTGTGCACTCAACAATCATTCTCAACCCCCTGGGGAGTATACAACCCAAGCTACCTGGTACGGTGCTAGAAGGTTAACAACCACATTGCCATCACATCCTACCGGGTACCCATTCAATGCTGGGTGAACTTGTATTTCATGTACAAGGACAGATATGATTGAAGAATAATAACAGATAATATTTCTGGCATCTGAAACCAGTGATTGCTGTAGACAAAGGTTTGATGATTGTACATGACTTCACATCACTGGTGTTGTGATCCCAGTACTTGTGGTACATCAGGAACCAGCCTTAGTCACAAAATAGAACATATACTACGGTTAACAAAACACTTCTTTCTACACACACCAGGTGTCATATCATTGATGCTGAAAGATTTATAATGTGGTATGATAATTTTGTTTTCTTATTTTACATTCGATTATGAGCCTATCATGCCTACACTGACAAAAAAAAATAAAAAAATTTAAAACTTCTGTGAGTTGATCAGACTAAAAGTAAAACTCTGAATGACAATTATTTAAATTAGTAACATCCTTTTTCGTCTTTTCTCTACTTTATATAATCCTAGAAACAATAAATATTAAACAAGTTATTAAATGAGGACTGGTAATTCTCTCTTAAATATGTGACATACTGGGAGACAATTCTGAAATGAACTTTGTCATGTCCCAAATTGTACCTCACTTAAAATGTATATAACAAGGTTTTAATGGTTATGGCTTGCAACCAGTCTAAAACATGTGTTCAATTTTGAATTAAAGACAAACACAAAAGGATATAAAAATAAGCATGAAAAAGCTCAAACTAATTCCAGAAAACCCTCAGTAATTACAGACAACCAATGCAACCACAATTGCTTCAAACAGTGTGATGGTGTTTGATGGACAATAAATAGAAAGTGTTAGAAATGTAATAAATACATCTGGAATTGCCGGACAATCATGACATACACAAGTATCCGTGGCAACAAGGAAAGCCACCCATCTTATAACATGATATATGTACTAATGTTATCACCATACTACATCCTGAACCCCTCTCTGTACAACATAGGATGAAAATTCTCCTCTACAAAACCCAACATAAAGCAAAACATATCTTGGAACCCATTCAAAGACTTTTGAGCTTCAGCCTGAAGTTTTTTTTCCTTCCCACATTCATTCAATCAACATTCAAACAATAACTGTTCTCTCCATGAGATAGGTGAGTAATTGAGTTAGGTTCAACGCCGCTTTTAACAGTATTTTAGTCATATCATGGCGTGTCAGCTTAATGTGGGAGGAAAGCCCCAAGTGATGCACATCTCAGACGTTTACCACTACAGTGAAACCCACGAGCACAGGTATGGTGCTGACAAACCTAGAAACATAATTGGGGCAAACCGGGATTCGAACCCAGAATTATAGGTTTCTGGCGTGCCCAAGGGACACAACTCTGCACAGCGAATAACAGCGCCTTAGACTTGCCCCCCTCAATGAAATTAGCAGAATAGTTGAGTTACATGTGCATGAATATAAGACCAGCTTGTGACTGGACTAATAGGTTAGTGTCACAGAAATTATTCAAGCTTCAAGAAGTTCAGTCAGTTCTTACCAGTCACAGGTTCACAGAAAGAAAAAGAGAAAAAAATGAAGTATAACTGCCGACTTCAAAACAATTTATATTTCAGAAAGACAGGTTAGATTTAAAAAGATGATGTTTTGGTTGTTTCAGAATACTGAAAAAATGCCCACCAATGCTGTGACCCACAAACCTGAGAAGGCAGACTAGAACGTCTTGACTTTACAAAGTTTTGACTAAGCTATCAAAATCGGTAGTTACACACAGCTTTTGACATGGCATACTGAACTGTAGAAAACACAACTTATAAAAATAATAACACATGAATCTACAAACATCAAAAGAAATCTGCGCAAAACTTGAAGATTGACAAAAACATAATTACATAAAGAGTGAATTGTTGTCTTGTATTTCCCCATGGAAGCAATACACATCTAATGGTGAATGTTTATCTTAATGTATGTTTACTTGACCACACTTGACACAAAGGTTTAACCTGATACAATAACACTCGGAGATCCTGTTCCGGAATAAGTGTAATGATAGAGTGAGCTAGCGATATATATCGGAATTGGCCATGGTCTGATGGCAAATTACCAAAGACACATTAAAATACCATAGTGAACATCGATGCCGATCTATTGTTAGTATCAATAGACATTAATCATTTACTTTTCCAATTGTAGTGATCACAAATACACCTTGCAAAGTTTACATTCAGAATATGTTTATAATTTTGGATAAGAAAATAATCATATCTCCTTCACAACTTCCCAGCATTTGTAAGTACTTGTCATGTTGAAAAATAACAGTAAATCTATTTTTTTGGACAGTAGATTCGCTTATCACGTTTTGCACTGTTGTATCACTCCTTCAATAGTCACCCCATGTCCGGACCCTGTTAGCAAGCAGAAACCCACCTTTCAGACATTTACTGTACGGAAAACATATACTACTCAAAACAGTTAAAGAACACCTACTATTGGAAGGCTATGTTGCAACTTCCACCAGCCCTGACAGATTAACTATCGTCATATGAAACAATCTGGTGCTCCTTAAAGTCTTTTGAGCAGCATACATGTATCCACAAAGCATCTGAACTCTTACAAATGAGTCATTTATCAAGAAATTTGTCAATCTGGATGGAAATTGCCATCCAGATTAATGTGATTTGACAGTTCCTGGGTACAACAAACAAATGCTGTGTGTATGGTCATGATCAAAAGACACTGGTGTTGGTAATAATAAGCTGATTCAGCAGAAAGGTGCAGCCAGATCACATTTTAACACTAATGGTGATGGTTTCAGTGAAAGCCACAGCTGGAAAAAACACTCCCTTACCTACTTGTACCTTCATGACAACATGAGAGCAGCAGGTATAGAACAAAGGATGAATATCTTGATCATGTTGCTCTCAAACACCAGAACTCTTTAATTTCTCCCTACAAGTACATACATAGGCAATAAATGAGTGATGAGTTTATATTGAAAGTCGCATCGGCAATCTTTCGGCCCTTTATGGAAGTAATAATAAGCTGTCAGGCGTAAGTCCAGATCCCACCCCAACCCATATCTTTCACTTATGCTGAGATTCGGGTAGATCTAAGCTATAAACAATTTCAGATAAACAAGCCCTGAAAATCAAACTATTCAAACTTGTGTGTCATGAACTTTAGAATGTGTAAAGCATGCTCATTCAAGAACATTATGGTCAGTAAGCTATCTTGAAAACACTGTCCAGGCGCCAACTACACTTAACAAATCCCTGTTATCATGGTTGTCTCAAGATAGAGAGCTAAATACTGGACATGACCAACACCCTTCCACTTACACATATGATATCATTTCTGTGAAAATCAACATTTACAAATTTGTAACATTTTTTCATTAATTAGCTGCATGAGCTGGGAGATCCATTTCACTCATGTAAAATAGGAGGATTTTTTTTCTCTCTTCCAGCCAAATTGATCTACTTATTCAGATGTGAAAAAAGCTTTGAAGTCTGTCAATATAGAAAGGGAAGTAACTCTGACTTTCAGTTTAAAGTCGGTCCACATCTCAATAGTGTCAGATATGGAATGGATGCTACCCTTCTATTGACTCATCAAACAAGACTTCAAAATACGTATAATTTTATTTCAAGAAAAATAATCGTGAAGGATGTAGCATTAAAATGTGTTCCCACCAGTAATGAAGACATTTAATCTATGCACTCCTTGGCTCTATTTAGTCTAAAACATTTGTTCAAGAGCAATTCCTGCTAGTAAGTTAGTATCCGTGTGATAAACATGAAACGCAAGGGTATGCATGTGTATTATCTACATGAGTTTGTGTGACAGAGGAAGGGTGCTGAGCAATTGTGTCTGTAGTGTCATATATTATCTCTTTCACTCAAGATCATCACACTCAAGCCTCATCACCCACACAGAATCTTGTTACCTACTGGTGCCAACCCTGTCCCCTACCGTGAATAATACACTCTGTAATACAAAGTTTTGGACCTCCATAATGAGTAGGAATTGTCAAACTTCAGTAAGTAGACACCCCTCCCGGGGTAGGTGTGGCTGCCACAGTAGACCTCCTCATGGCAGTCGCGGCGGTAGATTGGAATTATTTCATCTGTCGGTGGACGATTATCTTGCTTCTTCCCTTTCTCAATATCTCCCTTGACATCTGGAACAAACGGATTCATGTAACATAAAGTTTGTGTTCATGCCTTCACTTCCACTTCTCAAGTCTTCCCTCACTTCTCACTTCTCAATTCCAAGTCTGACCTCATCTCCCAACAATAGTCACACCCAATTCCCCGTCCCCAGTCTGACCTCACTCACCTATTCAAAATCTCCCCATAAACCACCCATCCCAAGTCTCACCTCACTCCCCATCTCAAGTCTCACCTCACTCCCCATCCCAAGTCTCACCTCACTCCCCAACCCAAGTCTCACCTCACTCCCCATCCCAAGTCTCACCTCACTCCCCATCCCAAGTTTCACCTCACTCCCACTCCTGATCCCAAATCTCACCTCACTCCCGATCCCAAGTCTCACCTCACTCCCCATCCCAAGTCTCACCTCACTCCCCATCCCAAATCTCACCTCACTCCCACTCCCGATCCCAAATCTCACCTCACTCCCCATCCCAAATCTCATCTCACCATTGATCCTAAATCTCACCTCACTCCTGATCCCAAATCTCACCTCACTCCCACTCCTGATCCCAAATCTCACCCTACTCCCCATCCCAAGTCTCACCTCACTCCCCATCCCAAGTCTCACCTCACTCCCCATCCCAGGTCTCACCTCACTACCCATCCCAAGTCTCACCTCACTCCCCATCCCAAGTCTCACCTCACTCCCCATCCCAAGTCTCACCCTACTCCCCATCCCAAGTCTCACCTCACTCCCCATCCCAAGTCTCACCTCACTCCCCATCCCAAGTCTCACCTCACTCCCCATCCCAAGTCTCACCTCACTCCCCATCCCAAGTCTCACCCTACTCCCCATCCCAAGTCTCACCTCACTCCCCATCCCAAGTCTCACCTCACTCCCCATCACAAGTCTCACCTCACTCCCCATCACAAGTCTCACCTCACTCCCCATCCCAAGTCTCACCTCACTCCCCATCCCAAGTCTCACCTCATTCCCCATCCCGAATCTCACCTCACTCCTCCAAATCCCAAACAAGACTACACTCCCCCCTCTGTCATCATGTTTTATATACCCCATCACAGGTCCTGTGCTCATCCCCTCACCCCAAGCCTCCATCTGATGCTCCCTCCTCACCTGTGGCTTCACCACCTCCCTCCTCTTCCTCGAACTCCTCCTCATCTGTGTCTTCTGACACGTGCACACTGACTGTGTTACTGGGAGCAATCGTCCATTCAAAGTACACACCAAACCCTATGTCATAGTAATCTGTTGCAAACTCCCAGAACAAGCACGAGCCATCTTCATGTGTTGGCACACGCACCTGCAACAGGTAACAATGTTCATGTAACCATGGTAACACTGACAGAGTTGCGCAGTGAGAGATTATTTCATTAACAACATAGTTAAAATAAAAGCCAGTTCAAAATCATTTGTAAATTAATAAATGTGCAAACTCATAGATACCATTGTCATCTCTTTACCAATATGCATTCAGTATAGATAAAGATATCCCCATACATTATGAATTGAAGAAAACATCAGCAATTGACAGCAACATCGAAAGCATCAGCAATACTCCACACCATCAGGGTCTGATGCAACATCATCATCCATGTGACACATCAACCACCTTTGTCCGCCTGCCCTTGTGACAAGCATTGGTCACTGCATGAATGGATAATTATTGCTTTACGCTGCATCAGCAATTTTACAGCTATTCGCAACAAGAACCAGTTGATAAAACATTGGTGACTGACGACCTTTCCAGACCTGGAACTCTCATAGAGTACACAATGAAAGGAATATCCACAAACCCACCACCACGATTATCCATTTGCACAAACAGATCAAAAACAAAAGACACAGCAACAAAATAAAACCAAAGTGATTGAAAATATTTTCCAATTGTTTGACATATTAGACAGCAATAGGGAGGCATGTTATTTTTGGTTATATGTAAAAATAATTGGAAAATCCTTCAAATGAAATGGTTGACATGTATAATGTGCCTTGAAATCCAAAACCAAAAATACTACAACAAAAATGTTAAAGAACACCCGAGATGTTCGTATGACTATACTTCCTCTGTCAATAGTGTCATGGCCATGACAGATCAACTATAGTCATTTGAACAAATCGGGTGCTCTTTAACTTCTTTTGAGTAGTATATATATTCATGTGAATCAACACAAGCATATATTGACAGATGCAGCTGGAGAAAGCTGTTTACAATGTGTTTACATTTCAGAGCACATTGTTACTTTCACACTAGTCCTCCCCATAACCAATCCATCCTCGTTAATCCAGTGTATTATATCACCATTCCATTATGACAAACAACCTGGAACAATTCGCCACCATAGCTTCATTTCATAAGTCACCATCCCCACCCCTTCTGTCTCTAACCTAGCATCATGCCATACAAATGGGGCTCAATACGAAGCTGTGGTGGTGAGTGGCTCCCGGATATTCATCCTGAGAGAAGACAGATGAAACAATGAATAACACACTGGATAAGGCAGGACTTCTCCAATCATGCTAATTCCTCCACCAGTTTCTTTTTCACAAGCTTTGCATGAAGAAGCGACAGTGATAACACCAAAGACGTTGCCTACTGCCTCCTGTGCTTCATATACCCTCCTAAGTTTACACTGTCATTGCTTTGTCAGCCAAATGATTAAATGGAAAGACTGATATCGCTTTATTTCAACTTCACATCAGAAAGTCGCGAACATCTACTTCATAAAAACTGTTCGACTTTATTAATGTCTTAGCTACCAAAAACAAATAAGATATGCTAAAACATATAGCTCTTTCTAGAAAATCAGTTCATGTTACTTGACTAAGGGAGCTCCTAAACATCTTAATTCCTAAGAATGGAAACAAAATAACTGAGCTGAAAGGCCAAGGGTTGGAGATAAGGTTACAAAAAAAGATTCACAGTAACTATGGTAACAAGGTCTGTGTACTTGTGCTTAGCAGTGTTAGAGCTGTAGGTTAGTGAGTGGAAGGCTGATACACACTCCTCTACAAGATACTCACTGTAACTGTTTCTCCTGAGCCTATCTTAATTACAGAGTCCTTATCTTTACGTAGAGAATCCTTGAATTCTTTAATATCTTTGCGAGTCCACATGGAGGCTGCGGCAATGGGAGGTAACTCATCTAGAAACACCACAAAGCAAATGACACTGCGTTACTGAACATAAAAAGGTCAAACTACACACTGGACAGTAACATGAAGTTGGGCAGCTATGAAACAATCAGGCTCCAGTGTACAATAAGAATACACCGGAATGTAGGTGAAAGACCTTGGTTCCTACCTGACACAGAAACAAAACTTATAAGGCATAATATTAGGAGCCTTTTACAAGAGAGGCCTAATTAAAGTGGAGAGTTCACTTTTTTACATTTTTTTAATCTTAACAGTCAGAGGACAACATTGTGAATGATACACAAGAATTTCAATAACAAGAAGGCATTTTTGCTATTGGGGTCCATATGCTATACTCAAAATGGGGAAGGGGGTGACCACCATTAGCATACACAAAAACAGCAGTCTGCGTCTTTAGCAACTTGTCCAAAGCCCAAGACTAGTAAAATACTATTCGGTTTAGTAAGCTCTGCTTATAATGGTCCACATGATACACCAAACTCTACTAAAAGGGATGCTTTGAGTATTGTTCGGGCTAGCAGGATCAAACGTTTGTGTCACAGACTGCCCAAGTAAAACATGTTAAAGAGGCCACTGTAGTGGTAGAAACTAACAGTTTTAGTCCACTAGTCCTTATGATGATAACATATAGCAAAACCCTTAAACAAGAGGAAATTTCTACTTGTCCTTATGATACCTTAACTATTGGGCAGTTTGTCAAGGACTACAGGACTTGTGCCAATTTCCAACACTGGGCCAGGGTGGTGATCAGGCTCCTCACAGCGATGGCCCGTTAGCGGAGCTCTCTATACTATCGCTGCCACCAGTCAAAACTCCCCACTGTTAAAAGGTGGCCACAACCATGCTTGGAGTTGAACTTGCAAACGAATGACCGTTATGTTTACAAACAAGCGACCACTGTCGTGACGCCGAATACACTTATCGCTGCTAAATAACTTTCTTCGTTTGTCAATTTGAATTTCTGTTTCATTAAAACTATCGTGTTATTGATATAGTAAGAATGTAAGGGAGAAGTTGGTTGATTTTCCGTTAGTCTGCAATCTCGAACCAATCTGATTATCAAAACAACAAAGTAAATTCGTCTGGAAAACATGGTCAGTCGTAAACCTTTTCAAATTGAAATATGATGACATTCCCAAAGACATAAAAAGAAGTATAAACGTTACTACATATGGGGTTGGAGGGCAAATTTCAAGATTCTTGTAATGGCCGCGCCCACACTGGTGGCAGCGATGTTACCGAGAGTGTAACGAAGGTGTCACGCGCTGGGAAGGAGCTTGGGTGGTGATGGTATAAGGGAGATAACTCTCGTTATTAAATCTGGCACAGGTCTGCCTTTCATGATAACACTCAGTTGTGAAATATCCCATGCTAACTCAGAGCCTGATGTTCTGACAGCTGCCCATCTTCCCCCATGTGTTGACTGCAGTGTGAGACCAACCAGCCAACATTCAACTCACCGTGGCTGTTGCCAGGGAACCTATTTTGATCACATTTTCTTTGCACTTTCCAACACTTCCCTTAAACTGCTTCAAATCTTTACGGGTCCACATTGATGCAGGCATAATATGAGGCAAAGATGGAGCAATAGATTCTGAAATATCGGATGCGAACCATTTCAATCTTCATAGAACACTTTCTCTACAAGAACCATCTGTGGGCAAACCATCTCAGTGTAACCATGGTAACATTATCTACCCTTTTCCTCCATGTACACAACAGACTTGATGATTGTTTAATGACCACATCTGCTAGCATTGTAAGAGCTATTCATTTGATAATCAATGACATGATTTTTTTGTTTTTTATGAAAAGTATCAAATTCATCACAATAGATTATCAGCAAAAAACAGAACAATTGTCATTTTCAAACTGAAAAATCTTTATAAGAGAGTAACAACAATATTAACTGAAAAGAACTTGTGACAGTTATCATGACGGCACAAACACAAGAACTTTTAAAGCCGTGTTTGTTGTTTAACGCTGGACAAAGCAATTTTCCAGCTATATGACGTCAGCCTGTAAATAATGGAGTCTGGACAATCAAGACAATCTAGTGACTAATATTGTGAGCAACGATCCTCGCTGTCGGGTACAATGACACACAATCAACCATCTGACAACCCAATGCATCTGGTCACCTCTATGATCAGCATAGCTTGCCAGGGACCAATTCCCATGGACTCCACAATGAGGTCAATACCATCAACATCTACAACTATGTGTCACAATGACCGGTATAGGTCCCCTCACCTTCTGCTCCATCCGTCTGGCCATTCTCCAGGGCCTGGCCCTCCCTGTGCACAACGTCCACGCTCTGCTGTGGGTAGGAGTTGAGCTGCTGGGGCGTGGCGGGCTGAGGCAGGGTGGTGGTGCTGCTGTTGTTGTTGGAGGAGGCGTGCATCTGCTGTAGCTGCTGCTGCTGGTGCATGAGCTGCTGCTGGTACACCTGCTGCATGTACTGCTGGAAGTGCTGCTCCTGCAGCTGCCTGATCAGCTCCTCCTGCTGCACACACGACAGAGAGGGCAAATGTAACCAGGGTAACACACCAGGGAGTTAGCAACAATTCCAAACAAAATGCCCTTGGCAGGCAATTTGGGAAAACATTGATCTTTAAATGCACTGGTCCATGAAATACAGGTCATCTGCACGAAGCCATAATATTAGTTATTACTAATACTGTATATCATGTTTTCTTGAGTACAGTGGCCACTTATTTTCCAAAACATACAGCTGTGAAGAGGGGCCCGCACATAGTGCAAACCTACATGTTTTGATGTTTCTCCTATATGACATAAAGCATTGGGTAACTTTGTATCTTGCAACCTTGGTTTAAAATATTGGACAACAACTATGTTTTTAAAACTGTACAGAATGATTTGCTCAATGCTCCAATTTTGGGCTGGGACTGAGAGTACAGGATGCTGGGCTGGGGCTGGGAGTACAGAATGCTGGGCTGGGGCTGGGAGTACAGTGTGCTGGGCTGGGGCTGAGAGTACAGAATGCTGGGCTGGGGCTGGGAGTACAGTGTGCTGGGCTGGGGACTGAGAGTACAGTGTGCTGGGCTGGGGACTGAGAGTACAGTGTGCTGGGCTAGGACTGAGAGTACAGTGTGCTGGGCTGGGGCTGAGAGTACAGTGTGCTGGGCTGGGACTGAGAGTACAGTGTGCTGGGCTGGGGCTGGGAGTACAGTGTGCTGGGCTGGGGCTGAGAGTACAGAATGCTCGGCTGGGACTGAGAGTACAGTGTGCTGGGCTAGGACTGAGAGTACAGTGTGCTGGGCTGGGACTGAGAGTACAGTGTGCTGGGCTAAGACTGAGAGTACAGAATGCTGGGCTGGGACTGAGAGTACAGAATGCTGGGCTGGGACTGAGAGTACAGTGTGCTGGGCTGGGACTGAGAGTACAGTGTGCTGGGCTGGGACTGAGAGGACAGTGTACTGGGCTGGGACTGAGAGGACAGTGTGCTGGGCTGGGACTGAGAGGACAGTGTGCTGGGCTGGGACTGAGAGGACAGTGTGCTGGGCTGGGACTGAGAGGACAGTGTGCTGGGCTGGGATTAAGAGGACAGTGTGCTGGGCTGGGACTGAGAGGACAGTGTGCTGGGCTGGGACTGAGAGGACAGTGTGCTGGGCTGGGACTGAGAGTACAGTGTGCTGGGCTGGGACTGAGAGTACAGTGTGCTGGGCTAAGACTGAGAGTACAGCGTGGTGGGCTAGGACTGAGAGTACAGCGTGCTGGGCTAAGACTGAGAGTACAGCGTGCTGGGCTAAGACTGAGAGTACAGCGTGCTGGGCTAAGACTGAGAGTACAGCGTGCTGGGCTAAGACTGAGAGTACAGCGTGCTGGGCTAAGACTGAGAGTACAGCGTGCTGGGCTAAGACTGAGAGTACAGTGTGCTGGGCTGGGACTGAGAGTACAGTGTGCTGGGCTAAGACTGTGAGTACAGCGTGGTGGGCTAAGACTGAGAGTACAGCGTGCTGGGCTAAGACTGAGAGTACAGCGTGCTGGGCTGGGACTGAGAGTACAGTGTGCTGGGCTGGGACTGAGAGTACAGTGTGCTGGGCTGGGACTGAGAGTACAGCGTGCTGGGCTAAGACTGAGAGTACAGCGTGCTGGGCTGGGACTGAGAGTACAGTGTGCTGGGCTGGGACTGAGAGTACAGCGTGGTGGGCTAAGACTGAGAGTACAGTGTGCTGGGCTGGGACTGAGAGTACAGTGTGCTGGGCTGGGACTGAGAGTACAGTGTGCTGGGCTGGGACTGAGAGTACAGTGTGCTGGGCTGGGACTGAGAGTACAGCGTGGTGGGCTAAGACTGAGAGTACAGCGTGCTGGGCTAAGACTGAGAGTACAGCGTGCTGGGCTAAGACTGAGAGTACAGTGTGCTGGGCTGGGACTGAGAGTACAGTGTACTGGGCTGGGACTGAGAGTACAGAATGCTTGGCTGGGACTGAGAGGACAGTGTGCTGGGCTGGGACTGAGAGGACAGTGTGCTGGGCTTGGACTGAGAGGACAGTGTGCTGGGCTGGGACTGAGAGTACAGAATGCTGGGCTGGGACTGAGAGTACAGTGTGCTGGGCTAGGACTGAGAGGACAGTGTGCTGGGCTGGGACTGAGAGGACAGTGTGCTGGGCTGGGACTGAGAGTACAGTGTGCTGGGCTGGGATTAAGAGTACAGCATGCTGGGCAGGGACTGAGAGTACAGCATGCTGGGCAGGGACTGAGAGTACAGCATGCTGGGCTGGGATTAAGAGTACAGCATGCTGGGCAGGGACTGAGAGTACAGTGTGCTGGGCTGGGATTAAGAGTACAGCATGCTGGGCAGGGACTGACCATCTGTGTGTTCCCTGGGTACTGCTGCTCTGCATACTGTCGAAACTGTGCAGCTGTCTGCTGGTTCAATGCAGAGCGGATCTGCATTCTGAAACAAAGAGAAACCTCTCCTGAAGACAATCGACTACATCAATACTACAAAATAGGGAGTGAATGTAAATTAATATCAAAGTCCATTCATAAATATCATGGCGGAAATTGTCACACTGGTATGCAATACAAATACATATACCATGTACAAGTAGAAATTAATATAGTGCAAGTGATTACTAGGCATTTGATTGGCTAACCACTCCGCTGAATGATGTCACCGATTTTTTTACTGTTGTCTCCAGTTTTTTGTGTTAATGATTAAACAAGCAGTCTGTTAAGTTATTATTGTTGACATATTTATTTATAAGAATTAACTTCAATATTTTTTTATTGCGTTTATTGAGTTCTAAACATGCTAAACGTAAAAACTGGTAATCATGGTAATGTGCACATTGATTTTTACATTTATACCTCCATAAACGCAAAAAATATTGAAGTCAATTCTAAAACCAACTGTGCATATCGACCATTCATGCACCCTTCAAGAGGCTGCACAACAATTGCATGCACTGATGGTTAACAGGATTTTTATTTACATCTTGTGACTTTAAAGTAATCAGTTTCTGTCACCATTTACACATGTCTTGTGTTTCAATCAATGCCCCCTAACAGATGTAACATTAAAAGCTTTGATATTTACCATCACTGATTGCAAACTATGTAGGTCAGCTCAACCTTATAAATTTCCACAAACTGACCCTAAAACAGCAACCGGATGTTTTATTTGTTCACCGAGAGTTGAACAAATACTCGCTAAGGATCCTATCATGCTATTGTGTGTTTAATATATTGATCAAGCTGATACAACCCCATTTGAGTGAGTGAGTGAGTGAGTGAGTGAGTGAGTGAGTGAGTGAGTGAGTGAGTGAGTGAGTGAGTGAGTGAGTGAGTGAGTGAGTGAGTGAGTGAGTGAGTGAGTGAGTGAGTGAGTGAGTGAGTGCAGGCTAGGGACCTATTCTATCCTGGACTCCCCACTTGGTGTACAGACAAGGGACCTATTTTATCCCAGACTCCCCACGGGGCATACAGGCTGGGGATCTATTCTATCCCAGACTCCCCACGGGGCATACAGACTGGGGACCTATTCTATCCCAGACTCCCCACGGGGCATACAGGCTGGGGATCTATTCTATCCCAGACTCCCCACGGGGCATACAGACTGGGGACCTATTCTATCCCGGACACCCCACAGGTATACAGACTGGGGACCTACTCTATCCCGGATTCCCCATGGGTCCAGACTGGGAACCTACTCTATCCCGGACTCCCCACGGGGCTTACAGACTGGGGACCTACTCTATCCCGGACACCCCACAGGTATACAGACTGGGGAGCTGTTCTATCCGAGACTCCCCATGGGGCGTACAGACTGGGGACCTACTCTATCCCGGACACCCCACAGGTATACAGACTGGGGAGCTATTCTATCCGAGACTCCCCATGGGGCATACAGACTGGGGACCTACTCTATCCCGGACACCCCACAGGTATACAGACTGGGGAGCTATTCTATCCGAGACTCCCCATGGGGCATACAGACTGGGAACCTACTCTATCCCGGACTCCCCATGGGGCGTACAGACTGGGGACCTACTCTATCCCGGACACCCCACAGGTATACAGACTGGGGAGCTATTCTATCCGAGACTCCCCATGGGGCGTACAGACTGGGGACCTACTCTTGTTCTATCTGCCGCTGTTTCTCTGCCTCCTGCTGTTTCCGGGCCTCTTCCTCCAGTTCCCGCTGCTTCCTCTCTTCTTCCTCGCGACGCAGGCGCTCTTCCTCTTCTTGCCTGCCAACGAAATCAGTCACAGCATGTCATATCGAAATGATGACAATTCACAACAACCACTTGTCTAGTGCTGCATGGCCAATGGATCCAAAGTCATGGCTAATATGTCATGTCTACAAGTCACTTTGCAACAACATCAAAAGAACTGAATAAAATATTTCCAAATGGACCCATAAGATAATTACATTCTTAAGTTAGCAGGGGATAGTACAAGTATTCAAGTATGATCTCGAGCTACCATGATCTTCATAATAGACATGCTCTATGTCTTCCTAAGTCTCTTAGGGAATTTTTCACAGTTACATTGGAGCACGCTACTTTCTATCCCTTTCAGAATCATGGCATGTGTGAGTTTGTTGTTTAAAGCCGAACTCATATTCCAGCTATATGAAGGCATCCCGTAGATAATCAAGTCTGGACCAGACAATCCAGTGATTGATATCATGAGCAAAGTTTCACACCATCCAGGTACAATGACATGCAATGAACTGAGTCTGACAATCCAATCCATTTGGTCACCTCTTACAACCAGCATAGGTTTCTAGAGATCTATTCTAACTCGGAAACCAGCATAGGCTGCTAGGTACTGATTCTACCCCCAAATCCCCAGAGTTCAGAATCAAGGCATAGATGCTATATCAATAATGTCATCTGAGTCAAACCTAAAGGATGTTCCTTAAGTTGCTTAACAAAAACCAAGTCTTGGATTCTGCTATGTACCTGAATTTAAAACAATGCCCAGCATAAAACTGAATTGCAAATCACCATGTCTACATGGTCCAGTAATGTTTCATCCCAAATTTCACCTTTTCACGGACCAAGTTTGCTATCTCCTGCGTAACCAGAAGTAATACATAGTTTTTGACTGCACACTCTATATATGGAATCAGAGAGAACAGCATTTTTTCCCAAAAACTTTATAAGCACAAGAAAATATGGTAGTCAAGTGATGCTGACACTATCACAATGGTTCGACATTGGTACTGGGACTTACTGCTGTCTCAGCTTTTCCTCTTTTTCTGCTTTGTGTGCCTCAACAAAAGGCTTGAACAGGTTACACGACCCTTCCAGGAACTTTACAAACTCCTCCATAGCACTCTCCTTGGACATATCCCCGAGAGCTTGCCAGGCTTGCCTGGAAGAAACACATAATACTATAGTATATGATATCATATGATATAGTTTATCATGCTTAGTGTCAGAGTGAGTTCAACTTAAGGCTGCTTCAAACAGAAAATTAACATGTCTGCATGGTGTGCAAGGATTGTACATGTTGTATGATGATTTGTTTGTTGTCTAACGCCGCACTCAGCAATATTCCAGCTATATGACAGCGGTCTGTAAACAATCGAGTCTGGACCAGACAATCATGTGATTGACATCATGAGCATCAATCTACGCAATTGGGATACGAAGACATGCATCAACGAAGTCAGCAAGCCTTGAGCAGTGTTCCCAATGAACAAAAAACATCTCACATAAACGAACCTCTCGCACGTGTATGAACCCCAGAAACACATGACCACCCGTCAGACTCATCACTTTTTATTTTCGCCCCAGCTAGCTGGTGGCATTTTTCTTGTGCTCCAATCCAAGCCATCCTTCATCATCTTGGCCCTTTCGATTTAAAGTTGGGCTTGGATCACTTTCTTTTGCAATTCATCGATCATATTCAACAATTAATTTCTAAATTTGACACAGAATTATTTTCCTCTGGCTGTTTGAAAACATGAGTATAAGTCAGGATAAGGGAAAAGGACATAATTAGGACTTAGAACTTGTTTTAGAACCCTCAATCAATCACAGGCATCTGGTAACTCTGCACGGCAAATTGCAGCGCCTTAAGACGACTTGGCCACCATTGCCCAGGATCATAACCAGTGTGAGCATTAGATATCATGTGACAGCAAAAACTATGGCAGCACTGCCGTTTTCTGTCCTCATGGTGGGCTGATGGAAATACATCAATCATAAGTATAAATCATATATTGAATTGATACTATTGGCTATCAACATTATAGTTTTGATTGAGTGAGTATGGTTTTACACCGCTTTTAGCAATATTTCAGCAATAGCATGGCAGGGGATATCAGAAATGGGCTTCACATATTGTACCCATGTGGGGAATCGAACCCGGGTCTTTGGCTTGACGAGCAAACACTTAAACTACAAGGCTACCCCACCGCCCAGTTTTGATTGAAGTCAAACAATTACAAACATAATTCATAGATAGTAACACGATAAATCACAAAGAACAATGAAGAATGAACTGTGGGTTTTTTTTTCACGATAAAACATTGTTGCATCATGACGTCATTTCAGGAGATTCAAACATGATGACCTCGCAACTAGATGCCATTGTATATTGGAGGACAATCCTTTTTAGAGGCAAGTGTCCAGTGAGTTGTTCCCCACAGATGTAGCTGGGCAATCCAGATAAACGCAATGGCCGAACGATCTCATCCAAAACCGGGAGAGCTATGACAATTGGTATTGGGAGAAAAAGTACTGGTAATCTTCGTGAGGATTGTGAGAATATACAGGAAATACCCACCTGTGCATAAGAAGTACTTGTCCGACATTGCAGAGGTCGGATTCTATTGAGGGAGTCATCATTATATATACAGGTAAATATTTTTAAAGCTAGTACATTTTATCATCATCCACAAAGAGGCTGTACATAATGCTGAAATCTCATATATAAAAGAAACAACTCATGGCCATTGATTATCGTAAAATAAAACACTGCGGGAAGAGTACACCACTCGGGGCTGTTGCCTTCATGGTTTATTCTCCCTGCAGTGTTTTATTGTGTGAAAAACAACTCCCACTCGTTGTTTATTTCTTAAATAATCACCACCACTTGTCATGCTAGTCATTACTTGACAATTCTCTTTTCGTCAGAACGAATACAAGTTTACATGGCAGAAAAGTTAAACAGCTGCCTCCCTTAAATCTGAAACAACATTCCTCGCATTCGAATGAACATGCTGAACGGCCAAAATGGTGGACCTGTTAGTTACACTTGACAACGTGATAAAGCCGGGAAATCTGCCCTGGTAGAAGATACAGATACTCAACAGTGGTAGGCCTTTCCAATAGTATTGTAAATACGTTGTAAGCTATCACATTTCCATTGCAATACTTACTACATGTACTAAGCCATGCATGCATTATTCAAAATTAAGCATGTGAGTCATCTGGGGTTCTTGTTATAACACAAATGTTTTTTTCCTTTTTGCTCATTGTTCATTACCCACTCAGCAATATTCCACCTATATGATGGCATAAATTATCTGAGCATCAGTCTACGCATTTGGGATACAATAACATGCATTAACCAAGTCACTGAACCTTACCACCGAGTCCCGTTATTTGCTTTATACAACATGCACAAGCTGCAATTCAAACCGGGATCTTCACTGGGGCAGAACCCTAATGTTTTACAGAACCTACTTGCACCAAACACTGCTAGATTGTTACTAGTAACAACGCAGGGTACAATGACTGGGGGTACCAAGGACGAGTCTATATACAGATGCAATTCTTATTTTCCACCAGACAGTGTTTCATTGTCATTTTCAGTTGAACATATAGCATCGTTAAGACTGCTTGCTATGTTCTTAGGTCGCTATTCAATCAGTTAAACCAACCAGGGCCTTAAAGTAATGGTAACATGCCCTGCTGGCTGTTCATCATGTTGATATGTTAAAACTTCTCCCACTTTAAACAGCTTCATCTCATTCACTTGTCTATTGTCCATGTGCATGGCTTTAGACAATCAACAAGTCTACACGAATACCAATATCATATGTCACCAACAAGTCCACATGGATACCACTATCAAATGTCACATGACGACTACTTCCCTGCAACATCTGTGTTGATAACTTGTTACTACCAATAGGTCGTCACAGACAAATCTGGCTGCAAAGCCATGTAGGCCAGGCGTGAACATTCACCATAATCAGATAGGATCCTTGCACACTGCAAAGTAGACCTACCAATTGCTCAGCAGGCCTGTAAGGTAGACCTTCAGGCTGCAGTTGTCATGCTCGTAGACCTGCAGGGATGCACAACAGTCATACAGGTTACACTGTAGTCATGGTAGTAGATCTGCAGGTTGCACTGTAGTCATGGTAGTAGATCTGCAGGTTGCACAGTAGATTTGCAGGTTGCACTGTAGTCATGGTAGCAGATCTGCAGGTTGCACTGTAGTCATGGTAGTGGTCTGCAGGTTGCACAGTAGACTTGCAGGTTGCACTGTAATCATGGTAGTAGATCTGCAGGTTGCACAGTAGACTGGCAGGTTGCACTGTAGTCATGGTAGTAGACCTGCAGGTTGCACTGTAGTCATGGTAGATCTGCAGCTTGCACAGTAGACTTTCCGGTTGCACTGTAGTCATGGTAGTAGACTTGCAGGTTGCCCTGTAGTCATGGTAGTAGATCTGCAGGTTGCACAGTAGATTTGCAGGTTGCACTGTAGTCATGGTAGCAGACTTGCAGGTTGCACTGTAGTCATGGTAGTAGATCTGCAGGTTGCACTGTAGTCATGGTAGTGGTCTGCAGGTTGCACAGTAGACTTGCAGGTTGCACTGTAATCATGGTAGTAGATCTGCAGGTTGCACAGTAGACTTGCAGGTTGCACTGTAGTCATGGTAGTAGACCTGCAGGTTGCACTGTAGTCATGGTAGATCTGCAGCTTGCACAGTAGACTTTCCGGTTGCACTGTAGTCATGGTAGTAGACTTGCAGGTTGCCCTGTAGTCATGGTAGTAGATCTGCAGGTTGCACAGTAGATTTGCAGGTTGCACTGTAGTCATGGTAGCAGACTTGCAGGTTGCACTGTAGTCATGGTAGTAGATCTGCAGGTTGCACAGTAGACTTGCAGGTTGCACTGTAGTCATGGTAGTAGACCTGCAGGTTGCACTGTAGTCATGGTAGATCTGCAGCTTGCATGGTAGACTTGCAGGTTGCACTGTAGTCATGGTAGATCTGCAGCTTGCATAGTAGACTTGCAGGTTGCACTGTAGTCATGGTAGTAGACTTGCAGGTTGCACAGTAGACTTGCAGGTTGCACTGTAGTCATGGTAGTAGACCTGCAGGTTGCACTAAAGTCATGGTAGTAAATCTGCAGGTTGCACAGTAGACTTGCAGGTTGCACTGTAGACATGGTAGATCTGCAGCTTGCATGGTAGACTTGCAGGTTGCACTGTAGTCATGGTAGTAGATCTGCAGGTTGCACAGTAGACTTGCAGGTTGCACTGTAGACATGGTAGATCTGCAGCTTGCATGGTAGACTTGCAGGTTGCACTGTAGACTTGCAGGCTGCACTGTAGTCTTGGTAGTAAATCTGCAGGTTGCACTGTAGTCATGGTAGATCTGCAGCTTGCATAGTAGACTTGCAGGTTGTACTGTAGTCATGGTAGTAGACTTGCAGGTTGCACAGTAGACTTGCAGGTTGCACTGTAGTCATGGTAGCAGACTTGCAGGTTGCACTGTAGTCATGGTAGTAGATCTGCAGGTTGCACAGTAGACTTGCAGGTTGCACTGTAGTCATGGTAGTAGACCTGCAGGTTGCAGAGTAGATCCGCAGACCGCACAGTGTACATGCAGGCAGCACAAATGCAGGTAGTAGACAACATGGACAATGGTAGACCTGCAGGCCTTACAGTTTAAAGGAGATTTACAGTAGACTATAAATATGGGATTAAATCATTTATAAAGCATAATTAAACAAGTATACAAAAACATTAAAACCTATTCTTATTTATGTGATATGATTTACAGATGATCACTGTCTCTGTATAGTGTTTAGTAGATCACTAGCATTTTCCATGGCTTCACCTGACAATGCCATCAATGAAAACGTTGAATTTCCGCTCAATGACCCTACACATATTCGTCCACATCACTTTGAGCCTGTGGTAAGTCCAAATAGTCTTGACAGCAGCGAGGAAAGCGAGGAAAGAACGACCGAATGAAGATGATCAGTTTGATGTCAACACGGAGAGACTAGGGAACACAATCTGGTGTTAAATGCTATCCTGACATAACAAAATGGATGTTTAAAACAATAAAAAATACTTTGTGAGACAGTTATGCTTGTGTAAAATGTGTGTAGATTGATGCTTAG